AAAATCTAAAAAGCCTAAACCCTGAGCTCCAAAACCTGAGCTAAGTAATAAGGCGCCTGTATTGACGAAGGGCTCCCTGCTAGTTTAGGGGAGTGGCTGTGTTAGGGGAGGCGTGACGGGCTCCGGCTGTCCGTTATTTTTTTGGATGGTTCGGGGGCTTCGGGGGTTTAGGGGTTTGGGGTGTAGGCGTTTGGGGTTTGAGTTCGGGCTTGTGTGTGTTTAGGGGTTCGGGCACAACATGATGCGAACACAGCAGCGGACGGACAAGTTTCCCGACCCGGCGCGCCCAAATCGAGAGGAGAAGCTTGGAGGAATCAAGGGCCCGAAATCTTCAAATGAAGTAAGTATACACCGTGCACACCAATATTCCTAAGGAGCCCGATGTTACAAAGCCGCAAACGGTAGACCCCTGGCAGAATCCTCTAAAACCGGAAAGGGACGCATAGAGGGGGCTACTCTCGGAAGGTGCTCCGCTTCAAGCAGGAGAGAGAGGCTGTCCGGGAATGAAATGGGGTCGATTTAGGATTCAGTGTTGAGGGTTTTGGGGCAGTCTTTGGGGGTTGGGATATTAGAGCTTTGGGATTTCGCTTCATGATTTCGTGGGTCAGTGAGTTTCAGGTCCAGAGATTCGCCTAGATTTTTTGCGGCAGCGGAATCTGCTTCCTTTCTGGTTGAAGGTTCCAGGTTTGGGTTTCAGCCTTACTGTTTCAGGAGCTCGAGATTGGAAGGTTGGAGCTGTACTTAGGTTAGGGGCAGAAGTTTCTTGATGATGATGATGATGATGAAGAAGCAATAGTTATACAGATCTGAGTCATTGGTACATGTAACAGTATCCTCTTGATCATCGACTTTTTAAGCGTACGCTATCAGACGATATGTACGTAAAGCATCCACAAGGCCTTGCTCCAGATTCTGATGCACCTGTATTTCTTGTGGTGGAAGGCTTCGTTGGGATACCCTTGTGGACCCCAGCAACAACATTCGCATTGTTCAACCCCCGGCCTAAGGAACCTGAAAAGCCCTTAAACTGTAAACTCCTCACCCTAAACCCAAAACCCTAAGCCCAAAACCCTGACCTAGCCGTCTCCCAGTAGTCCAGGCCTTTCAGGAGGAGATGGAGCAGATGCTGCAGAAACTCCACGCATGTTTGTTGGGGGTGCTGTAAGGGTTTGGGGTTTGGGACTTAAGCGGCTTACGGTTTCTGGAGCTTCATCGTGTTGTTCTATGGCATATTCGGACTCTCGGTTTGGTTTTTCCAACTGCAATTCAAGACCGTGCGCTTATCAAAACTGGGTTGTCTTCATTATTCAAAGCTGGCATTGGCAACCAAGATGCACTTTCGACTGATAGACTCCCACTTCAGATGGAAATGTAAAAAAGCACAAACCCTGAAGCCAACACACGCAGCCCCACAGAAACCTTCCTTGCCCCGTCTCCCGAACCCTAAAGCCCGGAAAGGCAGCCCAACACCTAGTAGAAGACCCTAAACTAGAAAGCCCTAAAACGCCCTTAACGAAGTCCTGAACCATGAATGGCAGTTGATTAATCCCAGGACCGCGCGGGAACGGAAAGCACGGGAGGACGCCCTTGCCCTTGAGGTTCCCTCTTTGCGTCATTTAATATAGGGGCTTAAATAACTGCTTATATCATTTCGGGGGTTCCTTACTATAATTATAGTATAATATACCCCCATTACTTTCGGTTGATTGGGCTTCGGGCTTTCAACCACTCTAACTGGTGTTGATGCTTTGTCAAGATCCTAAATCCTTGCCTGTGGATCCTATACTGTTGTAGGGGCTGGGCCTGTAATTGTGGAGTCCTAAGGTTGTTTGTGGTACTTTGGGCTTGGGCTCGTCGCCTGCGGGGAGGAGGGTTCGGGGTTTAGGGTGGCGCGTCTGGGGTCTAAACGAGTCTAAACTTTAAACCCTCAGCCCTAAACCCTAAACCCTTAAACCCTGAACCCTTAAACACTAATGTCTTGGGGTTCAAGGTTTGAGGACATAGGATTTGGGGAAGCTCTAAACATGGTAGGGTTCGAAAGCCAAGCCCTAAATCCTGGATTCCTTATATGCGTCCGTTGATTGTAGAGTGGTTGTCGAATTTGCAGCATGCCTGGTTGCCAGCAGCACCCGTATCCCCTTTTCTCTAGACTGCCATGGTTGAAAAAGGGTGCCATGTTTCACGGGTTATCTGTGAACGTGATATCGGACACCCTACACAAATATGTGATACTGATACTTGATCCAAAAGCAGCCCTTCAAGAGTCATGGGCATCGGCGGTTTGGGGCTCTAGATACTCAAGACTTTCAAGCTCCGGGGCTTTGCGGTGCGGCTCTGGCACCGCTTCCTTTTCCTTGCAGGTGGAGGCCTACGAAAAGAGAAAGGCCGAGGCATCGTGCTGAGAGTACCTATAGCCTCCGTTGTAGTTCTTTTTGGGGGTGACCTTCTAGGATCCTAAAGAAGGACCTACAATGGAGACTAGAGGTAGGATTATGAACTTCGCATTGGTGTTTGCATGGCCCGTACTGTAAGGTTGACAGTCAAAGGGGCTTGGGGGTTTCAGGTTGAAGGCTTTGTGGCTATACATTGCTACAGGCGACCTGGAGGTTATCTTTTGGGGCTTCGGATTTTTTTGTGCTGAGTGCAGACTCCGAAATACCATCCCTAAACGAAGGAATATGCAGAAATCTTCAGCCCCACACCCCTACTCCGCCAGTTTCCCATGGCCTTTATTTGAAGGCCATGTCCTGAAATCAACTTCCGGCCTTGAATTCCCATGGGATCCTTCCATGCCCTTTATAAGTTTACAAAGAGTCCCTTTACAACAGAAACACTCCCCACATGAGCACCAAGGTGCACCAGAGACAGCAGAATCTCCTCGACCAAAGAGCAGAGTGGGGATGCCCGGTTGAGGGTTCAGGGTTTAGGGTTTAGGGGGTTTCGGGTTTAGGGTTTAGAGTTCAGGGTTTAGGGTTTAGGGGTTTAGGCTTTAGGGTCTAGGGTTTGGCCCAGCGGCTTTTTGTGGGGGCTGCCTGAGGACTACATGGGGTTCTACAGGGTGGTCTGGGGGTCTTTGCGAGGGATCGTCATCATAAGTGTGTTAATGTAAGGGCCTTCATAACTAGAATAGGGTTTTGGGGTATATTGTACCATAATTATCATCAGGAACCCCCAAAAGCCTATTCTAATCATTAAGGCCCCTACATTACTATTGCGCAGGAAGCGACACCCGCGGCGCGCTGCGGGCTGAGGTTGACGCCCTTGTGGTTGTCACTGCGCTCAATGATGCTGCTCGGGATCGCCTTTGCCCGGCTTTCTTTCTAGCCGCAACTCTTCTTGATACTCTCTTGGAGCATGCAGGTGGCTATGTTGCACCTGGTGTCCAACCGCAGCCACCACCCTGTCGAGGTCCTCCAACCCGGATTTCTCTGTGTGACCTTGTTGGATGTGGCGTCGCTCCACCAACCGACGTGTGTGATTTGGAGAGCAGGCAGTGCACTCTTCCTTGCTCTGTCGACGACGTCGACCAGCCTTTTTTCGCCGGTCTCGTTCCAGCACCTTGGCGGCCCGCCTGATGATGTACCAAAGCCCCATCGCTTCGCTTCTTGGACTTCTGCGGGTCAGACCGGGCGCTCACCAGCACCAGGCGAGATCCTGGTGCTCACATCGGATGGTTCATTCAGTCCGGATACTGGCGCGGCAGGCTGGGGTGTCACAATTAGTTTAGTGGCCCCTGATAGTTGGATCTTGCCAGGTGAATTTATAGGCTGTATCTACGGCGATTTGGCCGACATGGGCCCCGCTATGTGCACATATCAGGAATCCTGGGCTGATGCACCGGCCGATGCATATGTTGCCGAAGTCTGTGGCTTGCTCTGGGCGGCGGTCATCGCGTTTCGCCTGCCTTTCCATGGCGACATTGTGTTTCGAGCAGACAATCAATCAGCGCTCGACGGGGTTGCTGGCTGTGCATCCATGCGCTCACACCCCCTCTGCGCCGTTGCTTGCAACCTTTACCTGGCATTAAGATGCTGCAGCCGCGGCTCGGTATTGTTCCAGCATGTATCAGGTCACGCGGGTGATTATGCAAATGAACTTGCAGACGGCCTGGCAGCCCTAGGCGCAAGGGGCAGGCGGCAGCTCCACCCATTCTTTGTTGACATGTTGCGGTGGTTTCACAACGAAGGTCATGCCAGCCAATGGTTGCCGCATCTTAGTATGTCCCGGGTCCGGGAGCATGAAATGCCCAGGCTACGAGACAATTCGCTTACATGGACACCAGGTCAGACCAGCTTGCACATGACCGCCGAGGAAGTTATGTCCCCGTTTTTGCGTGTCATGCCCCCCAAGCAAGGACACGAAGGAGAGGGATGCGAGACAGTTGATGCTCGCCTAGTTTCCTATAACGCCCTCTCGGGCTGTTGGTCGTGTATCCTTATTGGCGCAATGTTTAGCTACTCGGGACATACACCTCACGGGTCTTCAGGAATGTCGAACTCCGCGAGGGGTCTTTCGTTGCCAAGATTTTACCCGACTTTACCCGACTTGCATCTGGGTGCGATGAGAATGCATGCTTTGGCGTCGAGCTTTGGATCTCTTGTAAAGGTCCCTTTTGCCCATCTGCCGCCGTCGTTGTTCACGCGGAGCCTACGCTCCTTATTGCCAATCTTCGTTTCCGATCCCAGCCTGTCAGGGTTCTAGTTGGTCACGCCCCACACCGTGCGCAGACGGAGCAAACCCGCTCCTCATGGTGGGAGCGTGTCGGTTGTCTCTGTCGCAAGCTTGCTAGCTGCGACAGATGGATATTTCTCATAGATGGCAACTGCAGAATCGGCGAAGTGAGCAGTGCAGGCATTGGCACACATCACGCTGACCCCGAGGACTTGTCTGGTGCCTTTCTTCGGGAAATTTTAGACGATTTGGGTATGTGGGTTCCGGCTACCTTCGCTAGTTGCATGCGAGATCATGGCGGGACCCTTTGCTTGCACCGTACCGGTGAGATGGTCCGCTCGGACTATGCTTGCATTCCTGCCTCATGGAACGGCCAAACCTTGGCATATACCGACCCTGGCATTACCACGGGTCACTCGTGCATTGACCATATTGCTACGTGCCTTCATGTCACGCTTGCCTTCCCGAACAAGACTCACCGTGCACGGCATCCAGTGCGTATTGATGCTCGCGCCGTTGCAGACCCGGCCCACCGCGACACTGTTAGTCGCATCATCCGCGGGGCGCCCAAACCTTCGTGGCAGGTTGATGTCAGCGAACATGCTGCCCGAGTTGTTGACTATCTGTATTGCCAGCTTTCGCGCGCCTTCCCAGTACGACGACGAAGGCTACGTGCCAGCCATCTTTCCTCTGATGCCCAGGCACTGCATGGACTAGTTGCAACTCTCCGCCACAACATTCGCACTCACAAGACTGCTCTGCAATGGGCTCTCCTTCGATGCGTTCTCTCAGTGTGGAAAGGGGGCTGCGGCTCCTTCGCTGCAGTATTCTCAGGTCGTTGGCTGTGGCAATTGCAGCATCGCTTCGCTCTTTCTTGCATGTTGTTGCATCGGACTGGCCGTGCTTTGCGTCGCCAGTGTAGGGTTGATAGGGCGGAATTCTTCACTTCCGTCGCGGATGACATCGCCAGGAGTTCCCCTGGCGAATTGCACAGTACGGTAAAGAGGGTCCTCCGCCCCAAAAAGTTCCGCCGCAGTTCCGCTGACCCCCTCCCGCTTCTTTACAGGGAGGATGGCACAATTTGCAGCACGGACACTCAAGTCCTAGAAGCATGGCGCGAACACTTCAGCGCTCTAGAGGATGGTCAGACCGCGTCGGTCGAGTCCCTGGTGCAGTCCTGCCGAACTTGGCAAACCTCGTTCTCTGGCACCGAGGAGGTTGACATAGCACGAGCCCCTACGATGGCCCTTCTTGTAGAGGCTTTCAGGGCGACTTCCGCTCACAAGGCGTGCGGTCCCGACATGCTTCCCCCGGCGATATGCCACCACTTTGCGCCGGACCTTGCTATCCTATTCTGGCCTATGGCCCTTAAAACTATCCTATCAGCGGCGGAGGCCGTTGGCCTGAAAGGGGGTATATTACATCACATACCCAAGCCTACCTCCGCCATGCAAAATGTTTGCAGTGGCCACCGAGGCATCCTAGTGCAATCGTGCATCGCTAAGGCCATGCACCGCACCATGCGCACTTTAGCGGTGGGCCAGTGGCTGCCACACTCTATGCATGCCCAGCTCGGAGGTCGTAAAGGCTGCTCTGCCAACTTCGGACATTTCTGCTCCCGGGCCTTCTTGGCTTCGTGCAAGGACCGCGGTCACAGCGGTGGCATCCTCTTTGTCGACCTTGCCGCTGCATATTATAGCGTTGTGCGGGAGATTGTTGTTGGCGACCGTCTATGCTCACGGGGGGTTGCTGACATTGCCTCCTCCCTGCGTCTCTCCCCTGAGGACTTACAGGTCATGCAGAGCCATATCGCTGAGCAGCCAGTCCTCCAATCCCAGGCGGCCGCGCCGCTCTTTATTGAGCTGGCTCGCGAGTTGCATAACCACACGTGGTTTATGCTTTCAGGAGACAGCACGCTGGTCCGGACTTACCGGGGCACGCGACCAGGTGGGGCGTTGGCTGATGTTATATTTAACATCCTCTTTAGTCGCGTCCTTCGCCGACGGTGCAATGAAGGCCTAGCAGGCACGTCCCCGGCCCTCCGGTGGGACGGCGCACGCACGCCGTTCATTCCTTGCCCATCTTCCGCGCCCCTGCTCGAGGTCCAGGACATTGTCTTTGCGGATGACCTTGCTTCCCTGGTGATTTCACGACAGGCCTCAGGACTTCGACATGCCGTTAGCAGCGTTGCCGCTGCCACCCTGGACGTACTGCCTGCCCACGGATTGACGGCTAACTTAGGCCCCAAGAAAACCGCGGCACTCCTTGCCGTTTGTGGCCCGGGGTCTCGCGCTGCTCGACGCGAACTTTTCACCACGCGCAAAGGACGGCTCCCGGTTTGCTTGGAGCACTCTGGAGCGGTGCATCTGGACCTTGTAACCTCATACAGGCACCTAGGGTCGGTGCTGACGAGCAGCGGCGAGCTAGGCGCCGAGATATGCCATCGACTCGCGCTAGGACGAGCCGCTTTCCGTGAAGGCAAGACCCGCCTCTTTGCGTGTCAGCGTATCCCGCTGCATCGCCGTGCGGTCCTTTTCCGCTCCCACGTACTTTCAACCATACTTTCTGGATGTGGGACTTGGCCGATTTTGCGCACAGGGGAATGGAAGAGCTTCAGCGGTGGAATCCTCAGTCTTTACCGACAAATGCTTGGGCTGTGGAAGGAGAATTGGAGGGTCACTGAAGTACTTGGCAGGCTACAGGTACCTGACCCCGCTTCCCTTCTGGCTGCCGAACGTCTTAGGTTCCTGTTATTGCTGGTTCGGTCCGGACCGGATTTCGCATGGGCCCTGCTTCGGGGATATGAACCCTACCTGTCGGGCTTACGTGCTGCCTCATCCTGGCATATGGAAGCCGTGCAGGGGTTTACCACTCTGGGACATATTGTGTCAGATTGGACCGGATGGCAGCACATGATGCATACCTCGCCGGGCCGCTTCAAGGGCCTCATTAAGAGGGCTGAGGCCTGGCATGTTCTGCGGTCGCGCATAGCGGCCGCTTGTGTGGAGTGTGCCAGGGCTGTCTGGCCACCACTAGCGAAGGTAGCCAATAGCGGATTTGAACACTGCATACATGCGTGTTTAGTTTGTAAGTTGGCTTTCCCCAGCAGGCAGTCCTGGGGGGCGCATGCGCACCGCACACACGGATATCATCACCCGGCCCACTCCGCTGCTAAGGGCCGACGCTGCCAAGCGTGCGGCCTTCGGCTTGCTGCTATTTCTAAACTGCGGCTGCACCTTAAGCACACTCCCAGCTGCCTCCGGGCTGTACTTGCTGGTGACTCCTCTGCTTTGTACCCTGTTGATGACACCGAGGCGCATCCGCAGGCGCCTGCCGAGTCGGGACCCGGGGCTCGAACGCCTGAGACCGAGCTAGCTGAGACCTGCGTCCCTCTTCTCCTGTCTCTCGAAGCCTCTCTCCCTGAGACCGACGAGGAGATTTTCCAGATTGTGTGTTCCCATGTTGCTCCGCTGCCACTGATTCGGGATACTCTTCAGCAATGGCGGGACACCCTGGCTGACACGACTGTTCAGGATGCGTGTGATGATGTCCTTCTCGTGTTACATCCTGTGCACATTTGCGAGAAAGTGTCCGGCTCCGTCCAACAACAACCGGACGAGCCGGTCTTTCAGCCTCAGATCCTGCCGCCGGCTTACCGCCCTACCACTACGCCTGGGCCTGTTCTGTGGTGCGGACGTTTGTGCCCGGCATGGGTCTCCCTTTGGGGGTTGGACTTGTACCCACCAGTCAAGGTTGACTTCCATGATGCCGCCCTTCCCCGCCTGCCTGTCGTTTCGGGGATATGCATCGTGTTTCCGCCTCCTCCATCTGGTTCTTTCACCGTCTCCTCGATCCCTGCTTGCACTGTACGCTCCCTCCGGCTCTTCTGTGACTGGTTTGAGAGTGTATGCAAGTTGGCTGGACAAGCTGCTCTGCACGCCATTTCGGGCACACCCGTGCACCTTCGTTTCCCTGTCTGTAGGGCATCGATTGCACCGTTGTCGCACTGGCTTTCAGAGCTCGCTGGAGACGGGGGTCACTACCAGCCGCCCATTTGTTTCACTTGTGAATTCGGTTTTTTGCAGTAGGCACGTCCTCCGGACTTTACGCCTTATGGAAAGAAAGAAAGGCCCCTACATTATGCGGTTTCATGAAGTTGTACAAGCTACAGTCAACAGTCTAGGGTTTGGGCTTGGGGATCACTTGCTCGAAGGGGAAACATCTAGCAGCCGCATCGAAGCTCCCAGAGATGAATCAAAGCTACACCTGAAACCGTACATCCCCCAAAAACCAACATCAGACAGCAACACCCCATAACACCCAACCTCTTACATCCGCAGCTCAGAGCCACCCCTACCTGGCCCCGCAAGCCTAAACCCCGCGGAGCACAACATGCAATCCCGCCCGAAACCCTACAACCCCAAGCCCTTCCCACCCTGAACTGGGTTGCTGTCTAACTAAGAAACTTAAACTGAGTTACTATACTGAGGAAACCCTATTACTACTATTATTATGATTATGATTATGATTATGATTATGATTATGATTATTATTATTATTATTAAAATTAATATTAATATATATATATATATATAGATGTATCCCCATATGGTATCTTAAAACTAGTTTCCTTAACGGCAACCCTGTAACAACCCCAAACCCTAGAGCAGAATTCAGAAGGTTGCCGCACCGTTATCTCATGCTATTATAGAACCCGAGAGAACCCTAAAAGGAGCCCTATAGTACCCTTTTGTCCTTTGAGGCTTCCGTTAAGGGTTTCTTTGGGGTATGTATATATATATATATGTAAATCTAGGGTTCAGGGTTTAGGGTTAACATATAGGGAATCTTAGTATTCATCAGCCTAAATTCATTTTTGCAAGTTTCTGGGGTTCACCTCCCCTACACCCTAAACCCATAAACCCTAAACCCTAAGCCCTAAACCCTTGCTCATATAAACCCGAGTGCTTCCTAGCACGAGGTTGGAGCGGCGACGAGAAGAGATCAAAATCCAAGAGATGGAGATGCGAAAGGAGGCCCCAGCGCTTAAGGGTGTAATATAGGGGCCTTGATAATTAGAATAGAGTTTGGCGTTCTGTATAGTATCCTAAAATTATAATAAGGAACCCCAAAAACCCTAGTCTAATCATTAAGGCCCCTACATTAGAAGGCTTGAGTGTTCAGTATTCAGGGTCACAGGGTGACAAGGTTTTGCGGCTTTAGGGCTGTGTCTGAGTATACGCCCTGACGTACGACAAGTAGGTTTTGGCAGGTCACGGTAAAGTCCAGGGCCCAAGTGTTTGTGGGATTGCGGTTCCTGGCCCCGAGGGCTAAAGGCCCGAAGGATTTAGGGTTTAGGGTTTAGGGTTTAGGGTTTCCTGGGACTGCATGTAAAGGGGTGTTACACCCTAAACCCTCAACCCGGACTGCATGTAAAGGGGTTTGGAGAGTGGTGTGTGGCTTGCAGGTGCCGGTCGGTTTGGCGCTCCAGCTTTTGGGCTTAGTTTGGGATTGGGGCTACATTGCAACTACCACCACTTCAACTGCCACGGTCACCCTATCGAACTGCCACTACGAAGACCACTACCATTAACCCCTACACCCCATAAACCCTAAACCCAAGCTCAAGTCTTTTCCATGAGGAGCAAAGGCTCCAGGCAATCTCCGCAGATCTCGGACATGAGGCGGGCTGGGATTTGGAGGGGGGGGGGGGTAGTGTTTCGGAGGTGAGGGGTTTGAGGTTTGGGGGTTTTCAGGTTACGGGTGTTCGGCCTTGAAGAGTTTAGGGTTTTAAGGTGTAGGGTCGTAGTCTTGCTGGGCATTCTTCAGGTGCCTTCTTGCAAAGGCTGCTCGGACAGTACTATGCGCTGACTTTATACTAGGAGTTTGCGGTGTTACCTGTATTGCGTTTGTCTTCTTCTTGCTTCTGGAGTTTAGCTGTTGTTGCCTTGGTGGTTTCACAATTTAGACTTTTGGCCAGTGGAAAGCTTCGACAAGGCACACCGCGAGCATATTACGCGCTGAAACGACATTGCCTTACGCGGCCACAGTCAATGCATAATTTAGCGGCCTTAATAATTGGAATAGGGTTCTGGGGTATATTATACGATAANNCCCCCCAAAAAAAAAAAAAATAGTATAGGTAAATGTTTAGGCCCCGATATTCGCGAGGTTTGGGCCGTTCAGTGCCGTTCAGGACTTTTGAGAAAAATGGGCGCTGAAGGGCTCGGAGGGCTCGGCGAGTGGAGCTTAGGGTTTAGGGTTTAGGGTTTAGGGTTCAGAGCAGTTGGGGGTTTAGGGTTTAGGGGCTTTCAAGCGTTCTAGGCTTCTCGTGCCATGCTTCAACTGCCGCAGCACTGTTTACACTGCCTCACACGGTGTCATGGTGATGTTTCGGACTGAAGCGGTCAGTATTTTGGGGAGAGGGAAGCTGGGGAGATGTTCTTCGGATATTTTGAATGGCTTGAGTCTTCGTCGGTTTAGGTGAAGTTTGCACGGAGCACTGGCGCCACGACATCACAAGTCTTGAACACTGACATCAAGGTGATCGATTGACTCATTCCATACATTTGCACACATGCTTGTGTTGTTGTTCAATCTAGTGTTTTTGTTTATTCAACTCTAAACTCTAGTTCTGCTTGCACCGGTTGGAAGACGGTCATTTCGCCAAGAGAACCTATGTATAGACTCAGACCTGGATCTAGAATCTAGGTAGCACGAGAGCAGCAGACCCTCAGCCCAAGCCCCTAGCCACACCCCTAAACCCTAAACCGTGGAGCAGCCTGAACTCTAGACGCTGACCTTGCCCCCAATACCGCTGAAAATGTAATATAGGAGCCTCAGTAATTGCCTATACTATTTTGGGGTATCCTTATTATAGTTCTATAATAATGGGCCCCAAAACCCTATTCTAATTATTTAGGCCCCTCTATTAGGCTCCTTTTGTGTCCAGGCCAAGGCGCAGGCGGACCGCCCTGACCCCAGCTGTACACGTCACAAGCAGATCCGGGAGTGTCTATGGGTGGTTCTCTAAATTAGGGGTCCTTTTTGGGGTCCCCAGTATACTACGGCACCCTTATAAAAAGGACCCCAAAAGGGACCCTAATTTAGAGAACTACCCCTATCGTAAGGTCAAAGTTGCAGAGATCAAATCGAAAGCACATTCTCAAATCAAGAATCTTAGACAGAGTCGCTCAAAGCCCCAGAAAAGAAGGGAGTTTTCGCCAACAGTCCTTGAGATGTGAGCTCCCAATGCGCTTTTGGGTTTCCGTTTGCGGTTATCGGTCTGAAGCTGGCGCCTGCCATGCCCTGACGAGTGATGTAAGCTAGCCCGGGTAAGCCGCAGGGAAAAGAAAGGGAAGCGGGGGCAAGGGCGGAGGGAAGGAAAGGGAGGGGGTGGGGCGAGGGGGGGGCGTCGCTGAGGTAAACCAGGTCCGATTGGAAGCCGCCGTTCGGAAGACTATGATATCGTCATAAAACTCTAGCTGGTGAAGTTTATCAGATGACGGTGAGGCGAACAAGCCGCAGACCGACCTTTGAAGGCAAACTATTGTGTGGTCTCTGCTCATCTACTGTATCTATCTATCTACTTACATATTTATCGATCTATCTATCTATCTATCTATCTATCTATCTACCTACATATTTATCTATCTATCTGTCGCACTCTCTCTCTCTCTCTCTCTCTCTCTCGCTGTGCACACCTACCGCCTTACTTGCTAGCATTTGCACTGCGTTGACCCTGAGCCAGGAACCTTGAACCTCAGCTTATGCCGTAAACCCTTAACCCTTAACCCTAAAACTCCTTTCCAGCCACGGTCACATGAGGTAAATCCGGATAGGGGGCTCCAGACTGGAATTTCAAAGTCCTCCGAAGCCTTGCTTTCGTCGTTCGATTTTAACCCTCTACCCTTTCAGGAGCCCTGTAAGGAACCTTTTAGGGAGCTTTCAGGAACCCCTTCAAGGAACCTTTCCAAGGAGCACTAAGCCCTCAACCCCTTTTCAGGTGTCCAGATTACTTTGTGTCAATCTGGGCCCAACATCCTGCAGTTCTTTCAGCTAACAGACCACGGACTGTGTACTTTCAAGTTCTTCTTTTGCTGCAGCCCGGCCATTTGGCAGACACAGAGTCTACTGTCCTGCGTTCCTGCGGTTGCTGCAATCTACAGTTCCCATGTTACCCCTGTAAGCTACGTCCCTGGTCTTGCAGAGACTTGGTTTCAGCGGACCTCGAGCTAAAGACCATGCATCGTCTTGCAAATACATTCTGGATCACGTTCCTCTTCCGGCAGATACACTGTCGCACTGATATCTGTTCAGGATCACATAGTTCGAGGGTGTTTGTTGGGCAAATGCCGTGCATCCCAAATCATGTACCGTTTTACAGACACGTTTCGTGACAACATGCATCGTCTTGCAGATACGTTTTTGATATGCAAGGCCAGTTCAGAAATTACACAGGTTTTTGACCTACAGAGGTTTCAGGGTTTACGTACATGATTTAAACGTGTATAGCCCGAGAATCACACACACACACAATCAAAACACACCCCAGGGTGTGCGCGTTCCTGTGGTTGCTAGTTTGGGCGATTAGGACTTAGGAGCTCAGGGCGCAGGGTCGAGGGTTTAGGTTTGGTAGGCACCAAGACGCTCTTGAACTGCTTGCACAGATGCTGAAGTTGTATAAATACAGCCAGATTTATGACCCAAGGCAGCAACATCCTCCGTCGCGAGAAGGAGGAGTGCCTCTGACAAAAGACAGGGTTGACGGTTCCATTTCGGTTGGGCTGATCTGTGACATGACATTTCGGGGCCGTGATCTAGAATCTAGAACACACAGGGTATGTTCTCTGAGCCCAAAGATTCAAAACAGTGGTCGAAGGGTTTGGGCTGTTTGGAAGTACATCTGAGAGCCCGGTGTAGCGGGATTTTGTCTCTATGTAAATTATATCACCAGAGCGACATTGCTCACCTAACACCCACATCTCTAAACCAGAAGCCCTCGACCCTGGTACGGACATGTTTTCTTCAACCAAAGGACGTTCTCGGGTTGTTGCCTCCGACTACGTTAATTTGAAGTTTAGGTGGTGGTGATGATGATTCTGATGATTGCGACGATGGCGATGATCATGATGATGATGACGATGATGATGAAGATGATGGCGATTTGCGATGATGATGGTGATGATGGTGACTGTTGGCGATCAAGACGAAGATCATGAGGATGGGATGCTCACGAGTCATGAACTTGCGATCATGCGGATGGCTGCTAATGACGCATGGCCATGATGATGACCACAAGATTCACAAGATGGTGCCAACACTGTTGATGATGCTGTATAACGGCGGCCATCAACCACATCATCGCCACCATCATGGCCGTCATCATCATGAGCATCATGTTCATCGTCAGCTTTCAGTTAGCATTAGCATCACCATCAGCAGCAACAACATCATCAGCATATCAGCATCATCACCATCATCGTTGTTATGATTCCCACTACTGGTAGCATCAGAGACATGCTGAGGAACCAGAAGAGAACAAGTACAAACACACACACACACACACACACGCACACACACAGGTACCTGCATCCAAAGCGACAAAGCGAGTTTTGTGCAGCACGCATGGGTGTTTTGCGGTTCGGTGCCGTTCGGTTCCCAGGTATACGTCGGTAGGGTAATGTTCGCTACCTCGGCCACTCCCAGAAATCCACCCTTCCACCACCCAGGGCACTCGGAAATCAAGGTTCCAGCAACGTTCCTCGGACATGTTGCGGCGTCAGAAGGCGCGTGAAAGTGCGGCGCCAAGTCTGGTGTTCAAGAGGGGTTCAAGTTTAGAGTTTAGGATTTAAGGAGTTAAGGCTCTTAGGGTCACTTGGGCTTTGGCGTTTTGGGAGGGGTTTCGGGTTTAGGGTTTAGGGTTTAGGGGTTTCGGGATTTTGACTTGGGTTTCAGTGTTGCAGAGTTTGTGCTTGCATCTCGAAGGCGACAGGGTGACTCTCAGGCGCTGTCGATGAGGCTGGTAGGTCATCCTGGTTCGAGCACGCTGCGACTTATGGCTTGGGACGATGGCTTAGGGTTTAACTGTTTTTGGGGTGGCTGTTCAAAAGTACAGGTACCTGTGGTTGCAGTCTACGATCAACTTGCTTCAGGTTGCGAAGATCCGATCGGGGTTGGAGAAGCCAGGAAGCATGTTGGGGCTAGTTTATTGCAGAGGGCTTTCGCTCGGACGCCTCACAGTCTGGAGCTTGAGCGCCTCTTCTGGTGCTTTGAAACCCGAAACTTGAAGCCCTAAACCCTAAAATTCTCACACTTACGTTTGTTCGGAAAGCCACCTCTGCAAGATTCCCCCAGAGAAATCGTAATTTTTGCGGAATCCTTATGGCATTTACGGATCTTGCTATTCGGGGTCTTTCTTGCGGATGATGAAGCACAGGATTTGGGCCCTCGAGCCCTCTAAGCTCGTTTTGTTCATGCTTCATGGCTCAAGCACCACTAGCCTTGAGTGGCACACACAGGAACCTAAACCCTAAACCGTAAACGAAATCCCGATCCTTTGAACCCTCAACCCTAAACCCTAAACGAAATCCCGATCCCAAACGAAATCCCGATCCTCTGAACCCTAAACCCTAAACCCTAAACGAAATCCCGATCCTCTCTGAACCCTAAACCCTAAACCCCAAACGAAATCCCGATCCTCTGAACCCTAAACCCTAAACCCTAAACGAAATCCCGATCCTCTGAACCCCTTGCTCTTGTAAACTTAAGCCCAACACTCGGAACTCGAAGCCCAAGACCTCGAACCCCGCTCAACCTCTGGGTCTTGAACCCAAACCTTAAGCCGGCAGCCGGCAACCCCAAGCGCTACCATAGGGGCCTTAAGAATTGCCTATACTATTTTTTTTTTTTT